ATTAATTAGTCGAAAAAACAAACTTAACTTTAGTAGAGTCTAAGGAGGGTAAGATGATTGCAACTTTATCCTAATTTTTGGAGAGATTATTTTTGTGACTCAAATCCGCTCCGCCAAGGATGCTAACGACAAACCTTATCATTCGGTTAAGCTATTCTTTTGAGTTCTTAATCTATTTTTATATCCAACTTTGTTAAATATTTTTTCTTCACTTTTTGGGCATTATTGTAGATTGTAAAGTATTTTGTTATAGAATTCTTCTTCTTCACCTTCTTTTTTGATGAAATACAAAATTTTTACCATCGAGTTTTCTATTGTATAATATTATATGTACATTTTACATGGAGTATTATATTTTTCACAATATATTCACTTCTTATTAATAGAATATAAGCTCATTTTGTGTATACTTTTTAAGAAATATTTATTTAAATTAAATTATTATATAATTTGTCTTTTTCGGTAGGATCTTACCATCCTCGATTTGATTCTACGATCCGATCCTATAAACACCCCCAACGATCCAACGTAGGATCCCGATTTTAACAACCTTATTCATTACATTAGAGCCATTCACCATATACTTACCATGAACTTCAACACATTGTATCAAAACCCACTGCAATTACTCTCTTCCTCGTACCCATTTACTGCACTTTCTTATTTTTCTGTTCCACCCATGGTTATCAGAATCTAAATCTGGATTGTAAGATCTTACGATCCTACGATCTTAGTCGGGCCAAACGATCCAGATCATACTAGGATCTTAAATTTAGTAGGATCTTAAAGTGATTACGATCCTATTTATAAAATTGTGTTTGCATACGATCTCGATTCTATTATTATTTCGATTCCGATCCTACATTTTTCTTTTTGTTATTATTTATTTCTTATATATATATATATATATATATTTATATAAAAAAATTTAACTACAAACTCATTTTTCAATCATCTCTTTCGATTTATATTTAACATAGAAAGTGCATTATATTTAGGATTGTGCAAAATACCGCTCAATCCACTAAAATCGCACCGATCCGCATTAATCCACACCGCTCTGACTAGTAATTAGGAGAAGACTATGGGGGCCATGACCCCCTTGTTTTTGTGAAAAATATGATTTGTCATGATATTTTAAAAATATATATCTCATTCTCATCCCATCTTACATTCTCTTTTTATTTTACCAAAAAAAATGTCATTCTTTTCCATCTTGAATTCTTTTTCTATTTTACATGAAAAAAAAACCTGATTCATCCTATTAAAAATTGCTTCTATGGTATTTAAGTTTTTTTTTTTTATGTATATATTATATATACGTACATGTGTGTTTTGTATATATGGTGAATTTTTTTTTTTTTTTTTTTTTGGTCCCTCGGATAATGAAATCCTAGTTCCGCCCCTAGCTCTAACTGCTAACCGGGATTTAAATTTTAAAATTTATAATTTGTCAACCGAATTGCTCCACTCCGCTACAGTTAATACATATATAATTTTTTTTTAACTTCTAATGATATATCAATGTAAAAATGAATGTGAGAGAGATTTAAAATATGAAATTTATTACAAATTAATGGTTACATATATGAAACATGTTATGTAAAATTACTTTGTATTATATATCTAAAAAATATTATACAAATTAGTGTTATATATTATGCAAATGTATGATAATTAGTTAGAATATTCTTTAATCCACCAATCCGCCAAAAATCGTCCAAATCTCAATTTGTCAATTCACTAATCTGCCATTTGGTTTGTAATTTTACTCTCAAACCACCTGAACAACACTGCGCATACCCTTAGTTATATCAAATTTATCGTTTTTCGTTATTTTTTTAAAAATTGTGTAATATACATTATCATCATTCATAATTTTTTATTTTATTTTGCGTTGAAAGTAAAATCTTACGATTTTTTATCAGATTCTACAATTCGATCCACGAATCCCTCCAACGATCCACTTAGGATCCCAATTTTGACAATCTTAATTCTACCGTGCAACTACCACTTTTCTTCTTCTTCTACCAAGGACCACCACCCTCTCCCTTTGCACAAAGCAATAAATAAAACCTTAACGAGGTCATGACATCAAGTTAAAACCCCAATCAAAACGTGAACATCAAGCAAAAGATTATTTAACAAAATTGAAAATGATCAATGGACGGTCATAGCAAGACAAACTCCATTGGTTACTTCAGCAGCATCACCAAACAGAGTTCCTGAGATCATATATGGATGATATGTATATCTACAAATTTTAGCATTGTAGGAGAGTTTGTAGACAGACCACTTACTAGCCAAATAATTTGTTTTCTTGATAACCCACGTAAGATAGTGTACCCTCGATGCCGAAAAGCTGATCGAAATTGTCGAACAGAGCGAACAATTGGTCTCATCTTCAATCAGAATGAACCAATCCAATGTCGCAGATCTCCAGAAATAATTCACAAGAACCGAAATGCAAAAAGTTCTAAAACAATAGGACTAAACATTACAATAGGATTAAAACCCTAGCATCACTAAAGCCAATTAAAATTGAAACTCAATCCATGACAAATCACACATTTTTCGAGCAACCAAACAGAAACCCAATATACGATAATCAAACCATCGCCGCCATCTATCTCTCTCTCTCGAAATCGTTCGTTTTCACCAATCAAATTCAAAAATCGTGATATATGTATGCGTTGGGGATGAGAAATGATGAGTGATGTTGGTAAAGAGTGGCCGGAGAATTGTTGGTCGCACATGGGAGTGGTCTCCTGCGAAATGATGAAAAGATAGGAGAATTGATCTGGTGTGGTTTACTCTATGGTAGGATTGCAAATAGATGGTTATTCATTTAAATCATCAAGTAAGAAAACATCACCTCTTTATACAAAAAAAAGATTTCGTATATAACAATTGAGTTTTTTTTTTTTTTTTTTTTTTTTAGTTTTGTAAACGGAGATAAATAAGGACATAGATTGTAACACATAATGAAACTTAGAATTTAAATTGATATAATTGAAATTTTGAAGTTTAATTTTAAGAACACGAAATCTTAGGAATTTTTTTTTAATAATTTGCCCCCATAATAAAAAACGAAAATCATATCTCTTCTGTTGTCACTACCTTTCGTTTTCTATTCTTTTCTTTTTCCTCCTAATAAATAGGGGTGCAACTTAGACGGGCTCAACCCGAGCAACTCGAGCCCAGTTCGAATTTTTTTAGAGCTTGGACAAAATATTTTCAAATTCGGTATGGACTTAGGCAAAAATTCAGAAGCCTGAGTTAAATTTGGGCGGGCTTGGGCAAAGACGTCAAACAACCTAAGCAACCCGAAGCCCGAATTATATATATAGATATATAAAAATATTAAATATACATATAAATTATTAGCCATTACATGATATTAAAGTAATTTATATTATTAAATCATATTGAATATATATTATATATACAAATAACATAAAATCTTACTTTTTTTTCTTTTTATTTTCACTTATAAATTTTAAGGGCTACTATAGTGGCATCTCTCTTACATTATATAAATTAATTATTTTGATGGTATTAATGATTTTCTATAAATAAATAAAAATTATAAATAGAGTCAAATTTTAATAATTTAATAATGTAGCCGCAAAAAAAAAAAAAAAAAAAAAAAAAAAAAAAAAAACTAAGATTCATTTACAATTCGGGTTTAACTCGGGTCAGGCTTGGGCAGACAACCTCGGGTTACAATTCAGGCTTGGGCGGGCTTGGGCAGGTCTCAATACAACTTGGGTTGGGTTTGGACAACCTTCCAACCTGACTGAATCCGCCCGAGTTGCATCCCTACTAATATACCCAAGTCGTCTACAAAGTCAAGTCTTTCTTCTCCAAAAACGAAGCCTAACTCATTCATAGGGTGAAGCTTTTGCTGAAATCTCACAAAAGCAACAAAAGCAATTCCCGGGGTTTGGTTTAGGGATCTTATCCAATTTCTTCTTTGCAGAGTTGCTAATCATCAATCTCTGCTTGGTTGTTGCTATGTATGTTTCTACAACCCATTACTATCTTTTTTCTGTTTTGGATCATGATTTAAGTAACTCATCCACGAATCTCTACTCAAATCTATGAATGATGATGTTGTTGTGTTTGTATATCTTTTACACCGAAATAAATAAATAAATATCTATCATACTATATATGAAATAAACACCCTGGTGTCCTTAACTTCTTACACTAGCAAGTGTTCACTTTTAATTTAAAACAAAAAAATTAGATAAATAGAAAGATCAAGACTCGAACCTTAACCACCGATCAAATAAAGAAAACGCTTGCTATATAAGTGGCACACAATATGCAGTAAAAATTTGGTTTTGTTTTTACTTGAATTACACACACGATACGTGTACCAACCATTAGTATATATATGCTATTATCGATCATAGTTGTGCCTACGTGTGCCAGCCACTAGTATATATATGTTATTATCAGTCATAGTTGTGCCTACGCCATTTGTATTAATTTCTTTTGTTTTAGCTTAGTTTTTTTAAAAAAGAGTTGGTATAGTTATGTCAAATTTATGGAGCATGTAATTTTTCAAGCTCAGTCAAAATCAATGAAATTTATAGTAATTATTATTAATTTTTCAGCTTGATTGGACCATCTAATCACAAGGTCACATGGCCTGACTTGTTGCCTTAAATATGATTATATTAGACCTTGGGAATGTTGTCTGTTTGGTTTGGTTTGATGTGATTTTCATCATTAATTTTCTGAATTTTTTCCCAACAAATTATAAAAAAAAAAAATTGGTTAAAAATTGAAAAAAAATTAAAAAAACAAGGCATCAATGATAATAAAAATGTGAACCAATCAAATTTTTTTTTTTTTTTACTTTATAAATGACTTTACCATCTACTTTAGAGGACCCAAACTCCATCTAATTTCCTTTCTATGTGGACACAACCACACACTAAGCATAATTGGAACTAATTGTGATGGTGTGTTTAGTGCAGGGATAAGTAATGGCAGAAAAAGCAGTGAGTTCTGTTATTCAATATTTGGCACCGTTGTTAACTGGAGAAGTAGAGTTGTTAAAGGGTGTCCGCAAGGAAATTATCAATATCAAAGTTGAATTGGAGCGCAAACAAGCTTTCTTAGAAGATGTAGAATCAAGAGAAGAAAAGGGAGATAAAGGGGTGAAAACATGGGTGAAACAAGTCAGGGAAGTTTCTTATTAGATAGAAGACGTTATTGATGAATACATTCTCTTGGTCTTGCCAAAACAACTTGGACTAGTTGGTTCCTTGCGTAAGGTTACTCGAACGATCACGAAGCTAAAGTCACGACATGAGATAGCTTCTCAAATCCAAGACATCAAGACTACAATCCGTGAGATCCAGGAAGGAGCTGTTCGATATGGATTAAGTACTAGTACTTCCTCAGAACATAGCAGCACCGGCACTAGCAGCATCACCAAGGACAACATGTGGAGTGACCCTCGTCTGGCTTCCCTTTTCATAGGGAATGACGAAGTATTTGGCATTGAATCTCCCAAATATGAACTGACAAGCAGATTGGTGACCAAAATCAATCACAACGAGCAGTGATCTCGGTGGTTGGGATGGGTGGAATTGGCAAGACCACACTTGCCAAGAAAGTTTACGACAGCCAAGAAGTGGCTGTACACTTCACCTACAAAGCATGGATCACTATCTCTCAATCATACAAGCCTGAGGAGCTCCTCAAAACAATGATAAAGCAGCTATGAGGAAATGATGCTCTACTAGATGAGGGAATTGATTCAATCATTACCACGCTAAGACGATATTTATCCGAAAAGAGGTACATCATTGTGTTTGATGATGTATGGGAAACTGATTTTTGGTGATCCATAACACATGCTTTACCCAATAATAGTAAAGGCAGTAGGGTAATCATCACCACACGCAACAGGCAGGTTGTTGGTTTTTGCAAAGAAACTTTAGTGGATCATGTCCATGAGCATCAACCCTTATCTGAAGAGAAGGCTTGGGAACTCTTTTGCAAGAAAGCCTTCCAATTGGACTTTGGGGGTCATTGTCCCCTTGAGTTGAAGGAAATATCACATGAAATTGTTAGAAAGTGTGAAGGATTGCCACTTGCAATTGTGGCAATAGGTGGTCTCTTGTCCACCAAAGACAAGGTTATATCTGAATGGCAGAAATTCTATGGTAGCATGGGCACTGAGTTAGAAAGGAATCCTAATCTTACAAACATCAGACAAAATTTTGTTGTTCAGTTATAATGATCTGCCTCTCTGCCTCAAATCTTGTTTCTTGTACTTTGGCATAATGCCGGAGGACTACTCCATCAATTGTGGAAGACTAATTTGGCTATGGATAGCTGAGGGTTTCGTTGAAAAGCAGAAGGGAAAAATAATGGAAGAAGTTGCGGAAGAATACTTGAATGAGCTGATCCATAGACGCTTAGTTCAAGTGTCAACAACAAAATTTGATGGAAGAGTTAAAAAGTGTCGGGTAAATGATGTAGTGCGTGAGATTATTCTTTCAATGTCCGAGGAATCTAGTGTTGGCATGAGTCCAGCAATTAGCCAGTTTTGAGTCCAGCAATTAGCCAGTTATGGAATTCTTAGATTTAGGAATCCCTTCACTCAGGGGTCAAACATGATTGTAGCCTTTAATATTGTACAGACGAAGATTAGCTTCCTAAAATAGTTTCTTTTATCTCTATATATTGTACTCTGTTTCATGAAATTGATATAGAAAAAAGAATTATGTTTGACATGGTATCAGAGCAGGATCTTGGGTTCCCTGTTTTTTGATCAGGCAGGGGTCAAGATTTTTCTTGGCCTCCATGGCTGACTCCACTGAAACCATCCTTGATAATCTAATATAAAAAATGATGGAGGTTTTGTCAAGGGTTCAGACCTCTTCCTCTCCCATCACTGAATAGTTCTAATCAGCATCAAGTTGGATGGTTCCAACTATGGATTATGGTCCCAGGTTGTTGAGATGTACATCTCAGGAAAAGACAAACTGGGATACATCAATGGAGACTACCCCCAACCACTAGAAATCGATCCCGCCTTTCGTAAATGGCGCACTGAGAATGCCATGGTGAAAGGTTGGTTGATCAACTCCATGGACCATTCCTTGGTCGTGAACTTTATTCGCTACCCAATGGCTAAGCAGGTTTGGGATTCTGCTGCCATAACCTACTTCTATGGAACTGACATCTCGCAGGTATACGAGCTCAGATGTCGCGTATCTTGAATGAAATAAGCAGGTGGATCTATAGAAAAATACTATAACGATCTACAGGGTTTGTGGCGAGAAATCGATTTTCATTGACTGAATCCAATGAAATGTACAATTGACATACAAAGCTACAACTCCATTTTACAGGAGGAGCGAGTCTACACTTTTCTTGACGGACTAGATGATCGATTGGATCATGTTCGGAGCGATGTTCTTCGCCTAAAACCTTTTTCTTCAATTGAGCAGGCATATGCTTACATTCGAAAGGAAGATCTCCGACAATCTGTGATGATATCGGGAGCAGAAGTAGCGCCTAGTGGTGCTGTTATGACCATCAAAGGCGTGAAATCTGGCCAGTCACAAACTATGCTGAAGTCTGGGTCCTCCTCATGTTTCAAAGGTCATTCTGATGGGAATAAGTGCACTCACTGTGGGAGTACAAAACATACCCGGGAAACTTGTTTCAAATTATATGGCTACCCAAACTGGTGGCACGAATTACAAGCCCGAAAGGACGAGATGCTCCTGCAACTGAAGACGTCCCAGGTCGAGCAATAGTGGTCACGGCTAAATCTCAATTTCCTCTTATTCCCGTGGTTGCACCTTCTACCTCAACCCTAGATCAAGGTAATTGCGGTCAAGTTTTTTGCAGCTTTACTACTCGGAATGATGGTGCTTGGATTATCGACTTCGGAGCGACGGATCATATGACATTTGATCCAAATGACTTCTCCAACACAACTCAACCACGGAGAACTTGCATTGCCAATGCCAATGGTGCAACTTACCCAGTCACAGGGGTAGGAACCGTGCCCCTGTCTCCCTTTCTCTCTCTAGCTCATACACTTCTTGTTCCATCTCTTTCCAACAAGTTGATGTCTGTGAGTCAAGTTACTAAAGAGCTTAAGTGTGTTGTACTGATATACTTTACTTTTTGTCTGCTTCAAGATGTTCTCAGCAAGGAGATTATTGGGCGTGGTACTAAGAGGGGGGGACTGTACTACCTTGATGAATTCAGCCCAGGCAAAGAAAATCACACTCACCATCAAACCAGTAGCCATGAGCGATAGATTTGGCTATGGCATAGGCGTTTGGGGCACCCATCATTTGGTTATCTCCGGCATCTACTTCCATCTTTATTTTCTCGTTTGTAGAATGTAGACTTTAAATGTGATACATGTATCAAGGCTAAAAGCCAACGAGTTTCTTATCCAGTCAGCTTGAATAATACGAATACTCCATTTGCATTGATACACTTTGATGTGTGGGGACCATCCCCGACCATCCCCGATAACTACTTCCTCTGGTCATCGTTGGTTTGTAATTTTTGTCGATGATTGTACTCAAATGACATGGCTCTATCAGCTAAAAACCAAAGACGAAGTTTTCACCACTTTTCAAGCATTTCATGCCATGGTTCAGACTCAATTCTCTTCCAAGATACAAATTCTTCGTTCTGATAATGGTGGCGAATTCATCAACTAACAACTTCAGGCCTATTTCCAGCACCATGGCCTCCTCCATGAGACCTCATGCTCTTAAACACCACACCAAAATGGTGTCGCCGAGAGGAAAAATTGGCATATTTTGGAAACAGTTCGTGCCCTTCTCCTTGGAGCAACGGTGCCGAGTTACCATTGGGGGGATGCGATGGCTACTGCCGTGTTCTTAATCAACCGTATGCCATCTAAAATTTTACACTTTAAAACCCCCTTACACATTCTCTCTACTTAAATATCCCTTCCTTCAATATTGATGCTTCCTCCTAGAATTTTTGGGTGTGTTGCTTTTGTCCACCTCCACAAGAATCAACGTACCAAACTGGACCCATGTGTCGTTCGGTGGTTATATTTGGGATATGGTTTACATAAAAAAAGCTTTCGGTGCTATGATCCCACTACCAACCAGACCTCTATCACCATAGACGTTACATTTCTTGAGTTTGAGAATTTCTATCCTTCATCGGTATCCAATTCTTCCCGTCAGGGGGAGACTTAAGTAGAAGAGATGAATTGGTTGATGGCCCCGGTAGGTGAGCATGGGACTGGAAATAAAGAGGTTGAACCACATGAGGTACCACTAGAAATTGAATATGTCGAGTTGAGACATGAAGAACCTGGAAATGAAGAAATTGAAGAACCAGGAAATACAGAGTACCCTTGGTCCTTTCACTCCTCAGTACCAGAAGACCCTCCTCCTGATGAGAATGTCCCTGAGGTAAGTACTCCTACTGCACCTTTACATGCTAATATCTTGGATTCCTCTACTGGTTATGTGTTACCTTTTAGACACAATCGTGGGAAACCACCAAACAGATACAACCCAGATGAAGAGGAAAGAAAGTCCAAGTACCCAATTACAAATTATGCATCTACTCAAGGTCTGTCCAAGCCGCTCAAGACTTTCACTCAAACACTATCCTCCTGCCATATTCCCAATAGTGCTGAGGAGGCATTATCTGATCCAAAGTGAACGCAAGCAATGCAAGAAGAACTAGAAGCCTTAAAGAAAAATAATACCTGGAAGTTGGTCCCATTACCGAAAGGAAAAAAAATAGTGGGATGCAAATGGGTGTTCTCTATAAAATACAAGGCTGATGGATCAATTGACCGATACAAGGCGAGACTTGTGGCGAAGGGTTTTACCAAAACGTATGGCATAGACTACTCAGAAACCTTCTCACTAGTAGCTAAACTAAATACTGTTAGAGTCTTGCTATCTGTTGCAACAAATTTGGACTGGCCACTACATCAACTCGACGTGAAGAATGCTTTCCTTCATGGAAACCTTGACGAGGAGGCATACATGGATATTCTGCTAGGATACACAGGATCGGCTGGAACCAAAATTGTGTGTAAATTGGAGAGGGCTTTATATGGACTAAAACAGTCACCGCGAGCATGGTTTGGCCGATTTAGTTAAGCTATGAGGAAGTATGGCTATTGCCAAAGTAACTCTGACCATACTCTCCTCCTAAAACATCGACAAAGCAAGGTGACAACATTAATAGTCTATGTGGATGATATGATAATTACTGGGGATGACACCGATGAGATATCAAGCTACAAGAACAATTGTCTACTGAATTTGAAATGAAGAACTTGGGAGGGCTTAAGTATTTTCTGGGAATAGAGGTGGCGAGGTCAAGAAAAGGCTTATTTCTCTCTCAACGGAAATATGTACTAGACTTATTGACGGAAGTGGGATTATTAGAGTGTAAACCTGTGGATACGCTGATTGTGTAGAACCATAGGCTTGGAGAATATTCGGATCAAGTGCCTGCCGATAAGGTGAGGTATCAAAGACTAGTGGGAAAACTCACTTACTTATCTCACACTCGTCCAGACATTGCTTACGCCGTAAGTGTGGTAAGCCAATTTATGCATAATCCGAGTGAAGATCATGTGGGTGCCGTAGTTAGAATTCTCTGTTATCTAAAGTCATCACCAGGAAAAGGACTAATGTTCTCCAAGAATGCTCATCTAAATATTGAAGGATACATGGATGTGGACTGGGCTGGAAATATCTTGGATAGAAAGTCTACTTCAGGCTTCTTCACATTTGTGGAAGGAAACTTGGTTACATGGAGGAGTAAAAAGCAGAAGGTAGTGGCATTGTCCAGCGTTGAAGCTGAGTTCCAAGGCATGGAAAAAGGATTATGTGAGCTTCTTTGGCTTAGAGGTTTGCTAACAGAGGTCGGTTTTCCTCCTGATTCTGCAATGAATTTATTCTGTGATAACAAAGCTGCCATCGACATATCTTACAACCCAATTCAACATGACCGGACTAAGCACGTGGAGGTAGGCCGACATTTCATCAAACAAAACCTAGAAGAGCAGATTATTCAGTTCCCTTTTGTTAAATCTGAGGATCAGCTAGCTGACATTCTTACCAAAGTAGTTTCCAGTAGAAACTTCAATGACTCACTTGATGAGTTAGGTGTTAGAGACATCTACACGCCAACTTGAGGGGGAGTGTTGGCGTGAGTCCAGCAATTAGCCAGTTATGGAAATCTTAGATTTAGGAT